TTTTTGTTGTTTCATCCTGGATAGTGGCTCTGACACTCACTAATCCTCGGCCTCTTTCCTTCCACTTAGTGTACAGTCTCCGGATGCTGGACTTAGAATGAAACCCGCCGTGCATTGTAAGGAGTTTCCTTGTCTTGATGTCAGTGGCCTCTATCTCCCCCTTTGGCCAGCAAATTATGCCAGCAGGGTACCTGATGACCAGCAGGGTGTAGGTGTTACTTGCCCAGACTTTGTTCTTTCCATTCAGCTGGCTTCTCAGAACTTGCCTTACTCTTTGCAGGTACTTGGTAGTTGCTGCTTTCCTTGCAGCCTCTTCATGGTTCCCGTTTGCCTGCGGGATCCCAAGGTACTTGTAGCGGCCCTCAACATCTGCTATGTTGCCTTCTGGTAGTACGATCCCCTCAGTTCTGACTACCTTTCCTCTCCTTGTTACCATTTGACCACACTTATCCAGTCCGAATGACATTCCAATGTCCGGGCTGTAGATCCTAGTGGTGTAGATCAGTGAGCCAATGTCTCGTTCACTCCTGGCATACAGCTTGATGTCATCCATGTAGAGGAGGTGGCTGATGGTTGCTCCTTTCCGTAGTCGGTATCCATAATCACTCTTGGTGATGATCTGGCTGAGGGGGTTCAGCCCTATGCAGAACAGCAGCGGGGACAGAGCATCTCCTTGGTAGATACTGCACTTGATGTTGACTTGTGCAATTGGTTTGAAGTTGGCCTCTAGGATTGTTTTCCACATTCCCATTGAGTTCTTGATAAAGGCTCTTAGAGTCCTGTTGATGTTGTACAGTTCCAAGCATTCCAGGATCCATTGAGTCATAGGCTTTCTTGTAGTCAATCCAGGCAGTGCACACGTTTGGTATGTCTGGTTTTGCAGTCTTGAGTGACTACTTTATCAACCAGTAGCTGGTGCTTTGCTCCTCTGGTGTTACTACCAATTCCTTTCTGGGCCCTGCTCATGTATTAAGCCATGTGCCTGCCCATCTTAGCTGCTATGATGCCTGACAGGAGCTTCCATGTTGTGCA